AGGTCGACGGTGGCTAGGGGCGACGGCTGGCGGTCGAGGGCGAGCAGGGTGACGGCGGCAGCGACAGAGTGAGGGAAGGGGGTGGGGAGAATGGGGTTGAGACTTGGCAAAATTTGAGCCCTCGCGGTGGTTAACTCAAAATAGTAGTAGCAGGTTAGGATCCAGCGCTATAGCTAACTTAGCTATAGCGCTGGGTTGTAATGCAGCGCTACTACTAAACAGTTAGTAGTAGCGCTTGTTCTATACAGCGCTACAACTCTAACTATTGTCGGTGGACTCGTCTGGTCCCACATAGTAGTAACATGTTTTTGATTCTCAGCGCTACTACTACAGAGTTATTAGTAGCGCCCGTCAGAAAAAGCGCTACTGCTAAATATCAATAGCGCTTACTATTTTACAGCGTAACTACTATGCTACTGTGTATAAGCATTTTTCTACTGAATCAATAACTCCCGAACGTGCGGTGTTTTTGCAAATCGTCCCGAACGCTTTGCTAGCCGTCGGCCGAATCTCGACGACATCCCATGCCACGTCATCACGAGCGTAGCGTTCGGGATGATGTTGGGTCGCCCGAACGAGTTTCACCACTTATCCACTCGCAGCTCCATTCCCCTCCCACTCGACACCACTCCCCCACTCTCCTTTTTCATCACCGGATTAGAAGACGGCCGGCCAAATCATGGCGTCGCGCGGCGCAGGCGGGCCGTAGCGGCTGGGGCGGGAGCTGGGCCTCGAGGACACCTGCGTCCACGCGCACGAGATGAGGCCAGCGAGCGGGGCGGGCGCTGGGTCAACGTCCACCCGTGCTGGAGGTTGGGGACGCCGGCGGGCAAGCGAGGCTGGGGAGGCCGGACCCTTCGGCGGCGAGCACGGGACGACGACGAACGTGGGAGATCCGGAAGAGGGCGGCTTGAGCGAGTCGCGGCGGCCGCCACGGCGCCGGCTTCTCCCGCCGACCTCGTCTGATGCGCGGCCGCCCGGAGGAGGCGACGGCATCCTGCGGCGCGGCGCCCTCCACGGCGACGGCTTCTTCCGCCGATCTCGTCCGATGCGCAGCCGCCCGGAGGCGAGGACGCCATCGTGCGCCGCGGCGCCCTCCACGGCGACGGCTTCTCCCGCCGACCTCGTCCGATGCAAGGCCGCCCGGAGGCTCCGCCATCCTGCGCCAGGGCGTCGGCTTCTCCTAGCACAGCGACCATACGCTGCCCATGGGCAACGGGCACATCCTCATCATCTTCTCCTGCCACTTGAACGCCGTCAGTTGAAGATAGTCTTCCTGAACAGGTTCAGTTTTATGTCACTAGCTTAGCACTAATGGTGATTTAGCCCAGTTCATATGTTGCAAATTTAGTGTGATTCATTTTTTCTCAGTCGTTCATGAATTTGCAGAGAACTGTTTTACTTTTTGTTGTAATGCTAATTGACAAATATTGCATGCCAATCTTTTTTTGAGATTATAGTTGATGGCATGTCAAAATATGTTTTTTGCCATGCAAACACAAAATATGTTGCCATGTCAACCCAACTTTTGCTGCCATCCCAATTTA